CAATAGTGTTATGATTCTTTCTTGGTGGAGCAATTATTTTGTCGCATTAAAAGCGTTGTTGTATTTTTCCCTATTTTCCCTGTTGCCCCTATTTTCGAAAGATTCAATTTGATATCGTATTAACTTATTTTTTTAAGGCCATAGACTACTTATACTATGTTCGCACCGACACAAAATTCGTGTTTTCATAAGCAAAAGAGGTTTTCACACGAAAACTTGTGTTTTCATCCATACAAAATCTAACAAACGAAAACATTCCACTCATTATAATCGGTGCCTGCTCTAGTTTAATCGATATTATTAGAATACATATTTTGCCAGCCCTAAATGTCAGTTGACAATTTGTTTACATTCCATAATTGGCCTAAGCGTACCCTACAAGAAACTGCTGATGGGTTCACCAATACACTCACATTTGATATGTCAGTACTGTTAATTTACATTTGCATTTTTAAATTCAGAAAGAAGATTCGCAGAGCTAATGAGAGGAGGAGATGGCATCAAGTGAAATTTTATTTTTATATTTTCATATTTTACTATATTTTTGGTTGCATTTCTTTTTATATTTAAGTATATTATTTTAACTAATTTTGATTAAAAGTTTGAAATTTATTAAAAAAATTAAAATTATATTATCTACTGCGTAAAAGAATTTTTCACTTCTGATAACGTTTCAGTCATAACTGACAATTTTCAGCTATCACGGACTTATGGTCAGCTTTGACTGTCATATTACCCATCAGATGACCGTCACTGTTCTTGTAGGGTACATAACAAATGTAAACAAATTGATGTGTGAACTGTCAGTGAAAACCCATCGAAAACACACAATGTCGGTCAGAACGACTTTGGTTCCACAATCCACAAATTGTATTTTCAAGAGGATTTCAATTCGGTAGGATCATAGTATTAGTTTTTTTACTAAATTTTACTTCCCGTCATCGAAAATCATACTAAAATCCTTGGGGGCATAGAAATAGAAGGGAAGGAATTGCTTTAATTTTTGACATTTCTCAGGCATACTTAAGCTCTTCTATTCAAGCAATTTTTTGATTATATTATATTAAAATATACATATATATGGAGTAAAGTCAGCTGGAGTTTCAAAATCGTGAATATTAGTTATATGTGGACATAGGCAAGTTTTCGCCCGGTTTTATTCATTTTAGGCCCAAAAATACACTGTTATTAGAAAAACCCCACTTTTCACGTTCATTAAAATCACTCCAACATTGACCGATATACAAGTATGTGGTATAAAGTCAACCGGGGAGTAAGGGAAGTATTAATCCGATTCCAACCATTTTTAACACAAAGATATAATATCAAAAAAAACAAAAACGCCGAAATTCAATGACATGTCTTACAGATTGACCGATATTTTCGGCAAAAAGTCTGCCATAGACACTGGGGTCCACATTTCCGGTAACAACTGTCACAACTGTCACAAGAAATTTCAGTAATATAGCTTGAATAGTTTGGGTGATATATAAACATTAAACCTATAAGGGGGCGGGGTCACACACACTTTTACAGAATGTTCAAACACAGGTGCCCCTTTGCGGTTCGTTGTGCCAAATTATGGTTTTGTATCTTAATTGGCGGCTTCGTTATGACAATTTATAGGTTTTTGATTAATGGGACGTTGTGGGCGTTGCAGTGATTCATTTACGCCCTTCAACGTACTCGTCTTCACTTTTTTGACAAGGAATGCGTGTGTGAAGTTTTATTATAATATTTCAATTTTTACTCAAGTTACAGCGGACGGTCAGACGGACAGACAGACAATCACTCGGAACCACTCATATCCTTACCCTGATCATTTATGTATATCTAACTCAATTATTTTTAGATGATACAAACAACCTTTAGGTGAATAAAATTCTTATACCCTGTAGCAACATGTTGCAAAAGTATAAAAAATATATTTGTCATTTGAACCATTCACAATAGTAAAACTGATCTAAAGTATACAAAACCTAACTTGGTAGAAAATAGCCGTTATACCACTTTATTGAGGCAACCGAATACTCTCTTGAAAGAATTCAACTCGATAACTCTGTTGTTGCTCTTACATGACATTTTTTTTTTTACAAGAGAGCAGATGTGAGCAGAAAAATGGTGAGTCGAAGGCAACTTACGTCTGCCTTAACCACATCGCACCGACCTTTAATTTTGGAAAAGTATAAGCTCAATTAAGCCAAATTATATATTAACCAAACAAAATCACTGATTGAACTCCATAGTTAAATAATACATAGTGAAGCGTTGGAGAAAATTGCACTTCAAATAAGAATATTTGATAGCCCCAGTAAATATCTGGACTACATATGGATACAGGCCGAAAATTTTTCTCTTCAGCCGCCTTTACTTAAAATTTTCGAAAATGCTTTTTTCATACGCACTAAAACCCGTGCCATTTCAACCATCTACGCTAAATTGCAAATTAAATTGTACTAAAAATATGTATAGAAACATATGAAATATAAAATGCCCAGAACAATTTAAATTAAGTTTGACACGAAGTTTTGTAACACCCAGAAGGAAATATCGCAGACCATGTGAAACATGTGTGTATATATGTACTTATACTTGTATGAACATCATGACGAGTTGAAAGGATTTAGCCATGTCTCTCTATCTGTCCGTATATAGGCGAACTATTCCCTCAGTTTTTTAGATATCGATCTGAAATTTGGCACACATCTTTTTCTCCCCAAGAAACTGTTTATTTGTTGGAGCCGATCTGAGTCATTTAGAAATGCTTAAAATGCCCAAAAAGTCGACTCACTAGTTTCATTTTTTTTCCACTAGGGATTTTTGTAGGTTTGCACCAAAAGTTTCATTCCGTTAGCACTACGATAAGAGTAGCTAATGGTCTAAGCAAATATAGTATCTAAGCTGATCAAAAGTAACACATTTCAAATAATTCAGATGATTAAACTCACTTTTTTCAAATACAGAGCGAGGCAAACGACGCTATTAACACAAAAGAAGACCTAGCGGTGATTTTACAATTAAGTCAACACTAACAATGAAATGGCAGGGGTAAATAGACAAATATATTTTGAATAGATATATGGACAAAAATCGATTTTAAGAATGTTTGAGTTGTGACTCTTTTGTATTTAAATAGTATGCGATATGTTTTCTTTACCCTTATAAGCGTTCTTAAAACATAATTCCGAATACCGACATTGCGTGTGTCGACGAAGATAGCAGCCAAGACTAAATTTAAGCAATAACACTCTAGAGCGCGAATTACATTATTAACGGTCTGAAATACATTAGACCTAGAGTTTTAATGAAATACCGCAAGGATATTCGTGACACCCAAAATCGTGGGCACAATAAATCTTAGGTCGCGGTGCAAACCTTAATTTAATTCTAACACCCAAAATAGTTTGCGATAGAAATCAAACACAAACTACACTTACATATTTAATGATAAAATCATTTCAAAAACTATTACCATAATTTCTTACGAAAAACACGTTGGATCAAATATTCGATTTATGGTTTCAACTAGATACTGTAATGTTAACTGAACAAAAAATGTATTAATTAAAAATAATAATATACTTGTATTTATACTAAAGTAAGAGGTAAGAAGGGCAAGGTGGGACCTTAGTCCTGTATTAGTATTATAGTTCTAAGTGGTTTATCTTGTTAACAAATCTTTAAAACGCATAGTAAAACAACATAAATGTGCGAAATTGTTTGGCGGAACTCAATAGGAATCTGATAGCGTATAATTTCTCTTAACTGCACGTTGTTTGGTAGAAAAGAAAAACATTTAAAAATTTAATTTTTCAAACAATTCTTTGTATTTATTTTAAACATTTAAATATGTGCCAATAAAAGAAAATTGTATGACATTAACCTAGTTTAAAAAGTAGATTATATATATTTTTTAACTATGTTTACTAGGATAGTTCTTACAAATTATAGTAGATATCATAGTTACAATACGAAAAGGGAAGACGCTTTAATCACCAAAGGGAAATTCAAGAGGAAGCACTAAAATTTTTAAGTGTATTCAATATACATAAGATATATATATTATATATAAACATATATATATAAAACTTTTCTTCCATATATTAGTTGAAAAAAAAATGTACTTAATTTTAGAAGCATTTTATTTTATATAATTTAAAAGAATAAATACTTTTAGAAATTTTAAAAGATATAGCATTTGAAAATAAAACTTATAAACAATATAAACTGGGATAAGTGTGCCAACATTGATCATTTTACAATATTTCTCGGTAATATAAATAAAAATAGGCTATTATAGTAATAAAATAGTTCAATTATCATATTGTATTATATTCTAAAATTTTGGTTTTGAATAAAACAAAAAAGTTGTGAAAGGGTTGCCATCACAAGTTTAATAAATATATTTAAAAATTTGCTGGATTAGGTAATATTAATATATGTACAAACTTATTTAAAATTTAATTCAAATATTTTGCAACCACTTTAATTTTTTTTGTTTTTTTTTTTGGTAAAGATATATAATATTATATATACGTTTTATTGAAAGAACTTTTATAGTTTTACACAAAAAATTTTAATAGTGTAGCCAGAACAACTTTAATACAAATATTTTCACTTCATAATTAACAATAATTTACGTTAACGGAGCTGCGTCTCATATATAAAAAGTAAAAAAAATTATCGTATATTTTTCGTTAAAATCAATGTACTTAAAATACATGGCAACCCTGTTTAAAGCTTTTTTGAAAAAAACAACATACATTTAAGTTCTATAGCTTTAATCAAATAACTTTGAAAAGTGCGTGACAAAGTTTTAAATAAAATTTAGTACTACGGAAGATTTTTACCGCATATATAAAAAAATTTTAATTTTCTTCTAAAAAAAGTTAAATATTTCATCATACAGCGCTTATGGTTGGCAAGTTTCGTTTAAGAAAAAAATTATATACATACAGCAAACATATATAATTTAGTACTATAAATTGTTGCAGTCGAATATTTATAAACAAATAGGTATAATCAATAATTCCTAATAAATAGACATAACCTAAAAAACAGTATAACAAGCTTTGTTTAACTGGTAGAAACGGCCTTGGGCTAAGTAAATATGCTGTATTACTTTTATAATTCATTAAATGCACTTAATATTATTTTTTCTAAAGCTTTGGAACGATTGTCATTTGGTAAGGAATATATAATACAACTAACCTATATCTTTGTTAACAAATATTATTTTAATATATGTATATCAAACATTTTCCCATACAATTTAAAACTAGTGTAAAGAGTAATCGCCTATATTGCTTAAAACTCAAATACTTTGAGATCCTTGGAAGCATATATGACTCTTTATATATACTTATATAATATTTGGCAATTATTTGTTATTTGTATGATGTCTTTGGTGTGAACTGTAGTGTCTATCGAAGGTAAATATGAGCAACTTAATATCTAATTATACGTCCACTTTCATTATTATTCGCTATGTTAAACTAAACGCTGGTTGAATGCTGCTTCAACGAAGAAAATACAGTTATGGCCGAAGAGAATTAATTAAAGTTAGTTTGAAATAGGCTTACACGGCCAGCGCCTGCTTAACTGCTGACGCTGATACAATCTGCTGCCACCAAATGGATTGTGCCACCGATGCAGCTGGTGCGCACATACACACAATGAGGCGTGCGTGTTTGTGCACATGTGCGTGTGCAAGCAAAAGCGCGCGCGTTCGCACTACATGAAACTCTGCAAATAATCCATTTCGAAATTATTTGCATAATCCGATGAGGCATTGCCCGCGCTGCCGTTGTTGTTGCTATTGCCGCGACTTTCCTGCGCGCCATCACAAGTGCTTTCGGCCGCGTCGGCATTTTGTCCATTAGCCGTTTGCGCCACCGCGTTGCATTGTTTATTTGAGCTAATGGCTTGTGCCGCGCGCGCAGCTTCTTCGCCGGCCGCATTATTTGCAGCCTTCATTGCCGGCTGATTGGCTGCCATACAAGTATATGCAGCATTACCGCCGGGAGTAGCGCCGATATCGATGGGCTCAGCATCGAATGTTTCGGCCAACATGCGCTTTACATACTCGAACGAGACGAACTCTTGCAGTGACGGTGCCGGCGGTGTTGGTGGAGCTTTGCTGTTAATATGCTTACAAGCTGCCGCTGCTACTGCCAACGCCGTCGCCGCCGCTGAGGTCGTTGTGCGTGCCTCCACAGCTGTGGATTGTGCCATATCCGCGCTAATGTTGCTAATAGCCGTTATATTAGCGGTATTTGTATGATCCATATATTTGTTGCAATTAGTTGGTGTATGCCACGGAATGGCATGCGCTGTTGTTGCAGCTGTTGCACACGTTATTGACTGTTTGTCGACATTGGCGCTGACATCGGCACTGGCGTTGGTACTGTTGTTGTTGTTTGTAGGCTTCGGGCTTAATACCAAAAATTGGCCAAGTTCATTTAATTGATTGATGTGTTCATTATTGCTGCTACAACTGCAGTTGCTGTTGTTGTTGTTGCTGCTGCTGCTGCTGCACACACTCAACGTATCCATTTCCTGTATGTTCGCGGCGGACTGTCGCATACCATATGCCACATGCGCTATCCCGGAGGGCTTGTTAATGGCTTCATTGTTGTCGCAGTGGCTGTTGCTGTTGTTATCGTCACTGCAATCAATTGAATTCTCATTTTGATTGTGTTCGATGGTTACAATGCAATTTGACAACTCATTAAAGTTCATCGAATTGCTTTTGCTGCCATTTGTTACATAGTCGTGTTGTTGCTCATTGCCATTGCTGTTGTTTTTGCCACCGTCGGCATTAGTCGTGGCAACAAATATTGTGGCCATGTTACTGTTGACGCCCGGCGACGCATTATTGGCATGTTGCCGCATCGTATATGACATGGCTGTTGATGCTTTGTACATGGGCGCTGATGTTGCTGTTGTTGTTGTTGTTATTGGCATTGTAGCTGCTAATGTTGACAGTAATGGTGTAGGCGCCGCAGTGGTTGTTGTTGCTGTCATTAACTCATCGTGATTATCATAATGAGACAGCTTATTGTTACTATTGTTCTTACTGTTGTTGTAATGTGTTGACATCTCACTGCAACTATTGCTGCGCTGCTGACGTGTTGTAGTGTACTGTTGTTGCTGTGCTTGTTGTGTTGACTGCTGACTCTGACTCTGTGTATTATTCATTAATTTGCAGCCAATTAGTGTCGTTTGCGCTAATGCTTTTGTCGATGTTGTTGTTGTGGTTACTAATGTTGTTGTTGTCACTGTTTGCGCCTCTAATATCTCGCCTCCGGTTATTTGCGCTGTTGCATTCGCCAGCGATGACTCCGAATGTCGGCGCGTTTTCGCTGTTGTCATATGATCATTATTGTTGTTGTTGACTTTTTTGCTGCCGTTTCCGCCACTCGCCGCGCTCGCCGACTTTCGCCGCCCCAAATGGCCGTTGACATTGCGGAGCGCGTGATTTTTCACATGCTTACGCAGGCTCGATGGATCAGTGTAGCGTTTCGTGCAGCCGGCCAATTGACAGGCGTAGGGTTTCTGTAATTCAAAGAAAAAAGGAAATATATTAGATATTTTTTTATATTTTATTTTATTTTTAATTTAACATATATAAAATTAAACAAGTAAGTAAGTTCTAAGTTCGGGTGTAACCGAACATTTTATACTCTCGCAACTTGCAAAGATCAAAGTCCGGGAAATTACTTCAGGTGTTGACAATTTTTACATTGAAGGAAGTATTGATCCCTTTCACCCAGTTTTTGACACAAAGACATACTATTATCGAGAGTTTCATTTATTTATTTTATTTTATGTATTTCAATTATATATCTTACACATTGGCCGATATTTTAAATAAAAAATCAACTATAGGCACTGGGGTCCACATATTCAATACCGAGGGGCTTAAACAGTTTAAGTTCGATTTAGAGAGTTTTTGGTCACAAGGTGGCATACTTTAAACTTTAAAAATGGTGTTGCATGGGAAAAAGGCGTTGTTGTAATCCGATTTTACCCATTTTCGCACTACAACTTTGAAATATGAAAGGAATGTTATGTGCCGAATTTGGTTGAAATCGGTTAAGCAGATTCCAAGATATGGGTTTTCACCTAAAAGTAAGCGGTGCCACGCGTGTTTAGTGCTTGATTTATCACCCATTTTCACATTGGCGATATTTGTTCTTAGTGAATTTTGGTATTATAGCTTTTGCGGTTTAGAAGATATGCACATTAATCCTATTAGGGGGCGGGACTGCACCCACTTTAAAAAAAATTTAACTGCATAGCCCCTCCCTAATTTGATCCTGTGTACCAAATAACAGTATTGTGTCTTATTGTGGAGCTTTAATAAGGCAACTTATTTATTTTTGATTAATGACGTTTTGTGGGCGTAGCAGTGATCCGATTACGCCCATCTGCAATACCAACCGTCTTACGGTACCAACAAACATGTGTAGCAAGTTTCATAAGGATATCTCAATTTTTACTCAAGTTACAGCTTGCACAGATGGACGGACGGACAGACAGTCACCCGGATTTCAACTGGGCTCTTCATCCTGATCATTTATATATGTATAACCCTATATCTAAATCGATTAGTTTTAGGTGATACAAACAACCGTTAGGTGAACAAAACTAGTATACGAACAAAGATGATAGAATCCAGAGCTCAAACTTAATAGTGGGTTACAATTTAGACGATTTATCGAGAAATCCGTTACAATATGGTATATGGTATACCATATACGGAATAAATTTATTTATTTTTTTAAATAAATAATTTTGAAAAAATTGCCACGTATCTTTATTCAATTTTAATTTATTTTTAGAAGAATTTAAATAGTGAACAAGTATATAGTTATTTTTTCACAACAAAAAAATCAAAATTTTTTTTAGAGAAATACATATGTAAAAGCGTGCTTGTATATGTGGTTAGAATTACATAAAAAAATTTGTTTATTTTTAAAACATTTAAAGTTTGAGTAGTATGCATAAATACATTCCAGAACAACAAAACTTGTGATTTAAATTTATTCAAATTTTATGAAACATAAAGTTTTCAAAAATAATAATCATATTAAAGAGTTGCCACGTACATATGCTTAAAATAAAAAAAAATTATAAATTGTTATGTATTTGTAAGTCATTGACAAATATTGTACAAACAACATTTTTTTTGGAATTGCCAACTGACTTCAACTATTTTTGTATTTTTTTATTATTATTAATATTAAAAAACAAAAAAGAAAACAATTTGAAAACAATAACAAATTATCATTATTTCAAATACTGCCAAATGATTAAAGCAGCTATAGTTTGTAACGATATTGCCACCTTTCTTTAATATTCAAATACAATAACTTTTACAATAAGAAAAATTTAATGCGAAACATTACATACAAAAAAAAATATTATATTATATATATTATATTATATATATAAATTCTTGTAAAAATATATATGTATATTATGGTGCTAACCCATAATTTTAAATATATAAAAAAGTTATTATTTAAAAAAAAATTGGAGAAGATAGAGTAAAGGAAAACGCTGCTCGGTTAAATATTATAATTTTTAGTTCATTTTCTGAAATTTCGTGCTCAAACAAAGCAAAATAGACAAATTTTTAGCCTCATGAACAATTTTTTGAGTGGTTCGTTGCATTTTTGCTGCCCTCTTCAGAGCGCAGGTTGGGTCTACGATATATAACATGACCAAAAACGGCATTTGTTGATGAAAAACAACGAATTTGTTAAAGACTTCCCGTCAGAATAATAAGAAGAGTCGATAAGTCCAAATTTTAAGTGAGGTCTAGTTGAGAATTTCAAAGCAGGAAAATAATCGTTTATAGAGAAGCTAGGCAGGACCAATTATAAAGAAGTGTAACCCCGTTTTTCTGTTTTCCTCCACCTAACTGATATGTTCAATGAAAATAATGTCAAATCATGAATCTTTATACTACTGAAGGCCTCAAAACTGGATATTGACCGATACTTGGCTAATTCTAAGGCAATCTAAAATCAACTTTCGACAAGAGATTTAAGCTTCCAAACATATTTCCGTTACCAAAAGGAAAAAATTCATAGCTGAAATTTAACTAAGGTTTTTAGGCGCTCTACAAATACTTTTATTGAAATAACGAAGGTAATCTGAGGAAAGACGCATACATTGATGTCTGTATCAAAAAAAGAAAAAAAAAATTTTAATTTTATATGTTATCCAAATACACACACATATTGCGAAATTTGATAAATACGCCTAAGTGTAGGCCATGCCACCGAACTTGAGCGACCAAAATACGAAAACCAATTTAATTTAAAATGCCCTAGTATTAGAGGAATGCACCAGTTGTGCGGAGCACTAAAAGCGGTCACTGTGAAACAAAAACGAAAACAACAACAACGATAAATTTCATTAAGCAGCAGCAACAAACACAACCCAAAACACAGTAACTCAAATTTGCCGTGTCGTACGCGAATGCAAGCAACAAAGCGGCAAACAGCTACCAGCTACAGCTAGTTACATGCAACAACAACAGCTATAATGAACGTAAAATGGCAAAAACAATCATTGGAACTTCAGCAAAACGTAAATCATTTCATACATGCATTTGAAAGCATTTGCGGCAAGCAGCATAAAGCTGCCACACGACATGTTGCACTCACTAGCTGGCAGACGAAGAGCAAATTTCGTTTCTTGAAAAGCTGCAACAGCAACGGCAGCAGCAAGCAACCAACTAGCTGAAATGCGCACACAAACTTTTAAATGTATGTGTGTGTGTTTGAGTTTGTGGCACGCATGCATTTGCCACAGCCTTTTATGCATATTGTACGAGTATTATTGCTATTTACAAGCAACTACTCATGATAATGTTGTTGCCTAGTTGTACTTCTTATTATTGTTTTTGGTGGTTTTATTGCAATTTTTGTTGTTGTTGCTCTTGCCAGTGCTATGGCGGTGCTTGTCCTCGATATTGCTAATAATATCGTTGTTGTTGTTGTCATTTTGTGGCTCCCAAGCCGGCAGCATTTAACTGCTACAGCCACACACACGCGCACACTTACACATGCGAGTGCAATTGCATGCTCTGGTGTGTGTGTGGGTGCAGCCTGCATGTTGCAGCGATAAATCAAATAAACAGCCAAACTTCTAAATAACCAACGAACGCAGTATGCCTGCAACACCAGTCACATACAACTACAACCACAACAAACACACATACAACCACCGAAATTCACTTTGTGCGCTGCCCAGCAATGCAACCCACACACATACATAGACACACACACGTTCTTATATGCGAATATATGTGATTTTATTGCAATCCATGTGCAACAACACAAGCACACGTGCTGAGGAGTGCTGCCTCGGCAATTACATAGAGTTGCTGCGAAAACAGGGCTTAATGCTACTAACACCACTACACACGCACGGCTGCTACAGCGTCGCCTTACTTCCCTTTGGTGTGGCTTTTGAACAGACTTGCTGTACTCTCTGCTGGTTGTTGCTGTTCTTATTGCCTGCTAGCATACTTTGTACGCACGAATTCATTTAAGCATTGCTTGTTGTTGTTGTTGTTGTTAGCTATTAGCTTAGCTGATGAATTTTGCAATAAAGCATATGTTGTTGATAGGTCAATGGTGCGACAGCACTCCGCGCCACGAATTGACTTAATTTGTTGCAAATTTTAACGACGAAGCGAGCTTTTTGGGGCATGCAACATTTTCTGTAAAAGCCTTTGACTTGTTGCAACTTCGGCGTTAACAAAAGAGCCAGCTTGAGCAGTTTCAAGTAATTAGTATATGCAATTACAGTGGACGAGAATATTTATACTACAAGTATATACTAATATACGATATACAAATTTTTTAGCTTTTGTCTACTTCTAGATTGTATGAATTAAGTATTCGTCCAAGTAAAATTACAATAAATTTTTCCAGCGAATATTTTCCAGAATATATTAACCCATCAAAGATTAAAATATAACAAATTGTTTGGCTTAAAGTCTGCTTTAGAGTTCCAAAACTATTATATATTCGGTTGAATACTGAAAAAAAGTTTTCCCAGTCCAACCCTACGTTAACGGTAATTTTTTACACAAAATTTCAATATAAATGCCTTTTTAGATATACACACATGTCTATTAATTTTTCACTACTCACAGAGAAAATAATCAAAACTAAATCCATTTTTGGGGCTCTAAACTCTCCTAATTCCTTAAAAAACAATTTTTGCGTTAAGCCAGATAAGAAATATGCTTGTCAATAATCTTAAGGAAAATCCAGAGTAATTCCTAACACATTGTTTGACCCTGTACAATTAAAATCTGCTCAGAAAATAATTCCATATCACTGATACGTAAAAGCCGGGAGAAAGCTTTCAAAAAGATTTCAAATATACAACTATATATTTGTTCACGAACTTAAAGCTTTAAGCTACTCCAGAAAGGTTTTTGATACAGAAAGAGGAAAATTGTTCCTACTTTTTTTTACCGATCCTTAAAGTGGTTATATACACTTTTGATTTTCAAAATATTTATTTATTTCTTTGCATATACCCTCCCAAATCTTGAAGTTAATCTGACAAGTATATATAAGCGTATTTGTAAACGTTTTTCAACTTAGTGTACTCGTCTTCCAAAATCTTTCACGCGTTTTTCTCAAAACACTGTTTTTCAGATATATGTCAGGAAAATTTTTCCAAACCGGCCATAGATAACAATCAAAGGTATAACACTTTCAATAATAAGTGCGATTTTTAAACCACTCTGAAGTACAAAATTTTTCACAAAAAGAGATTTTTATTTGAGCCATTTTGTTAAAAATCAAAATTTTAACTAGTCCTTTATACATTTTAAGCAGAAAAAACTTCCTGACCGCTAGATATCTTTTTTCGGTGCAGCGATGAGGCCCATTTCTGGCTCAATAGGTATGTAAACAAGCAAAATTGCCGCATTTGGGACGAAGAGCAATCTGAAAAGTTTCAATAGCTGACATTGCATTCAGAAAAAACAACGGTTTGGTGTGGTTTGTGGACCGCTGGAATTTACATTTTCATTCTTTAAAAATTATGCCGGTGAAAATGTAACCGTCAATGGCAACCGTTATCGCATAGTAGTAACCAAATTGAATGCTCGAACGAGTCATCGAAAATTGGACTGAACTGATGAATCATCTGAGACATATCCACAGCCAATATTTGGAGGAGATATTCTTCAAAAAAAAAATGCCAAAAAATGTTCTTTTGAATAATAATAAACATTTCCCATTAAATTTGAACTTTCTGTATTTTTTTCATTAAAAAAAGTAGAAAACCCTGAAATGGGTCAACCTTTATATTCCAAAGCTGTCACCGGAAATTTTTTTTGAGTTTCACAGAGCTGGCAACTAATTATGTTGAGGAACTGCTGCTTATTGTTAAGTTTTTATCCAGAAATCTGATAGAATTCAGAAGCTAACTATATAAGTATTGTAAATGGCTCAATGAGCTCCGAAACTCCAAGCATGATTTAAAAACTTTGATTAAATCAAATTTCTTGTTCTGCGTGATTATAGGTTGAAAGAAATTTTCTACGATAGTACTTAAAGTACTCTTATAGGTATATTTATAAAAGTGACGCAATTCTTCTCTCATTGGCGAGAATCAGTTACTCTTCTTCTTTTTTTCATATTGAATGAAAACTATTTTTATGTTGTGCATACATATGTATGTTCTTGAGAGGTTCTCCATTTCTACTCACCGTGTCATAGTGGGTACGCTGGTGCTTGGCACGATCCGAACTATTGCTGAACGCTTTCAAGCAACCGCTATACTGACAGCCGTACGGGCGCTCGCCGGTATGCGAACGCTGATGGATTTTTAAATTCTCCAAGCGTGAGAAGGCCTTGTTGCAGGTGGGAAACTGTAAGGAAGAGATAAATGAAAATAAATCAAAATTTATAAATAAAAGCAGATATTTAAAAAAAAAAATTCAATAATACAAAAGAAAGAACTTAAAGTAACATATTTTTTTTTTTAATTTTCTCCAGTACTGTCCAATAGCGAGTTCATTTACCACGCCTACTTTAGTGGAGTAAGAGTGCAATGCGCAATATTGCAACAGTATACTGTATGCATAACGGAATTGCATATGCAGCATTTACTCACATTGCATTATATGTCTATAGTCGCATATACTATATCAACATATATACCAGTATATCCTTTTCAGGCGGCGACTGTGGCAGGTTAAGGTGGTGTCAAGCAAAATGCCATCAGAAACAAAAAAAAATTAATATTTGTTTATTTCGTTTTTTATGTCTCTTTGATTATGAAAAACACTCAAACCGCTGGCAGCAGTTATCATGTCGCTTCACGAAAGGATTCAGACTAGAAAACAAATGTCCTTGTAACATTTGTGGCGCATATAAAATGCTTGTTTGGGGGAGCTATAGAATTTTTTTTATTTATTTTTTTTGGTATTTTTCTCTAGCATTTGCATATTTCTTTTAATAATAATCCTTTCACGATCGTCTATGACAAACACAAAATGGCTTGTGTCGTTTTTATTGCTCCAACAGAAGATATGCTACTGTTATTCAATAAACAACCGTTGCATGAGTCGTCGATAGCGCAGACGGTTGTCCAAATACCTTTATGTGCAGAGAGAAGCATTTTTTTTTTGAAAATAAATGAAAGGGTATATGCATGCATGCATTAGGGTGAGTCCAAAAATGTGCAAAAAACAAATTTTTTAATCTCTTCTATTTAAGCATAAAACTAAAGTCATATATATCATTTTGAATACTCTTGTTTAAACTCGAAATTTTTATATATACTCGTAAACCGTTAAGAGACAGTTTTCTCAAATTCACACTCATTGAACCACATCTTAGTCAACTACAACTGGCAGCAAAATTTATATGTGACATCTAAAAGCTCTTTTAGTAATATCAACATAAGATTGGTGACCTAAAAGAATTACTTTCAACATTTCCTTAATTACTTTTGAGCCCCACACTAATGTTTCATAAGTGTACACACACAAATATATTTCAATTCACACGTGCATATAAAAATGCCCTTTCAACTTTTTTATGCTCGCCCCTCGTTTTTTATGCTTGCCGTACTTTTCCCTTTTATTATTTTAAACTCTTTAATATAAACAAACGTTCATCCACAGATTTATTTTCTAAAAATAGCAGCAACACAAGTGCAACGAAGGCATAGTAGTCACATGTGAGGCCGGTTGCCACATGCAACACAGATAGATACATTTGTAGGTGCGTGTAGTGCTTATAACTTCATTTGCTTCAAACAAACTCACAGCTGTGCATTTAGTTGTTCAGTGTGCGCTGCTCAGGTCCCAAGTCCATTGCCAACATCTTGACTTGTCATCAATACCAAAGGCGTAGACTTTATAAAGTAAACATTTATACGTCAAAGTATGTTTGTACAAATACATGTCCACATGTATATTTTTACATTTAATAACTTTAATGCATTAAAAATCACATAAACTTATTTTCTTAATTTTTGAAGACTTTTATGAAAACATGTCTAGTCAATTTTAGGCATTTTGGCTTAATATGTTTTTTCATATTAATATTTATAGAATATCGATATATGTATACATGCATAAGTTATCTTATTAAAATTAAATGAAGATAAAAAATATTTTACTTTATTAAAAAACTAATTTTTCATACCAATTTTCATGAAATCACGGATCCAAGTGGTTCAAAGTCTGTAGACTTAAAATATTCGTCTGAATCTCAATAATGACCTAGACTATATTGGCTCTAAATTCGGGAAACACTTTTCAATAAATAATGAACGGTGTAATTTAAAAATAAATCGGTGATCGCTACGCTGTGGCACTGCCGACCATCAGCTGTACTTGGTTTCCTCAACACTGCTTTGAGATATAAAACAATAAAATGACTGTGATAAGAACCCTCCAAAAAGGTTGACTTCCGGTAAATAGAAAGTCGCGACATGTCTAAAACAATGACATACTACATCCAGTATTCTACAACAGATATATCAAACCTTAACCATAGCAGCGTGTAAACTGCTTATACCTACTATACCGGTATGTTCTCAGGACATAAATTTCAAAGCATAACTATGCAAAAATCTATATAAGCTGTTTTCGATTCTACTAAACTTCAAGAGTCACGAATCGAACAAGTACCTGGCATAAATAAAATAGGTCAGGATATTTAAATTCTATGGAGAGAAATAGCGATAGTGTAGAGTAGTCTCCACTATTAAATTCAATGGAATTACTTACAGCTACCAGCTGCCTGATCGACATTAAGGTCAAGTAGACATTTTTGCAACATAAAAAAAGATACCGAGTGATTCAAGTAGAGGTACTCCTTTCAATAGCCGCTATTTCAGCCAGAAAAAACAATGGTTTGGTGTGGAATCAGCGGTCCACATTTCTTCAAAAATGATGCCGGTGAGAACGTAACAATGTCAATGGGACACGTTATCGCACAGTGATAACCAAATTGAAGCTCGTGATCTCGGCGACATTTGGTTTCAACAAGATGGCGCCACTTCCCACACATCGCATATGTCACTGGATTTATTGAGAGAACACTTCGGTAAGCAGATAATTTCACGTTTTGGGCCAGTCGAATGGCCACCAAGAAGGTGTAATATCATTCCGTTAGACTTTTACCTGTAGGAATATGTAAAGTCTAAAGTCTATGCAAACAATTCCGCTTCGATTCAGACCTTGAAGCAAAACATCACTGGCGAATGAGTTACCAGTCGAAATGCTCGAACGAGTTATTGAAAATTAAACTCAACGGATGGACCATCTGAGACGAAGCCGCGGTCAACATTTGAAAGAAATAATCTCCAAAAATAAATGCCAAAGAGTATTATTTCGAATGATAATAAACATTCCCTGTCGAATTTAAGTTTTCTGTGTTTTTTCTTTAAGAAAGTAGGAAACTTAGAAATGGAATACCTTATATAAAAAGATCTTTCGTGGTAATTGAAATCCAGTAATGGAACACAAAAAGTTAAGAACTTAGATTTTTACACATATTATAAGATACAACTTTGGTTCGGGATATATTGGAATATATATACTTACATATAGTTACCAAATCCAATCAGACAAATTAGAGTTTGTTCAAAAACAATTTTTACTTTTCGCCTTAAGGCATTTCCGATAGGAATCTAGATTAACTCTGCCTCTACCTAAGCACAGTTTTAAATGTAGTAAAAATTAAGTCTTCTAGCTTTGTGTTATTTCTGATGTAAAAATGAGTTGAATATTTAAAACCTATCAAACGATCAATGACGCTACAGGTTGACATGATCAAGTAAAAGAACTTAAAATATTTACAGCCTAATTTCACAAAAGTTGTCAAAATGTCGGCGCGGAAAGTCCGAAACCATTTGGCCTTTTTGTAGACAACAATTTCGAATTAATAAGAAAGTTTTTTTGTAAGCTTTTGAAGTGTCTTAAAACCCTACTCAGTGTTTGGTCGGAGACGTGTCATTTATAAAAATATTTTATTTATGTATGTAAAAAAGAACCTCGACTTACCGGACACTTGTTTGGTTTTTCGCCACTATGCACACGCATGTGTATCAAGAGCTTGTAGCGCGCATTGAAAGGCTTATAACGGCGTGGGCAGTCCAACCAGAAGCAGGAGAAATCTTCGCGTTTTTTTGCATCTACATGCTGTTTCTCGATGTGTGCCACAAATTCAGCTTGGTTGGAAAATTCCTCATTACAATCAGACCAACGGCAAATTTGCGCCTCATCGGTATAAGCATCAAAGTTCACAACTTGTTTTTCTTGCTGCGCCACAACGCCACGGGCGTATGCATCATAACTCGTGTGAATTGCCGTCGCGCTGGTGTGGCAAGTAGATTTTTTTTCGCACGCCACTCTGACGTTCACGTCTGGTGAAGTGTAGCGGCGTCGACGACGCTGCGATTGTGTGGCGTGTTGTTCTAATTGCTTTTTATTGTTGCTGTTTTTTGCGTTAGTGTTCGAAATGATGCCGGCACAGTCGCTTATGTGAAACACAGAGTCGTTATCATCCTCATTTGCATCATCGAATGCATGCTCGTTGCTCGCCACCTGTAGGGCGAAGTCAAGTGAATTCTCCTCCTCGAAATAGCTGGCAATGTCCACATCGACATCCTCATCGCCGCTCATGTGATTCGATTGTTTGGTGCTGGCCGAGCAGAGCTCATCGATGAGCTCCTCATGCATCTCGTCCAGCTCGTCGATGGTCCAAATGATTTTATGTTCACGATTTGGTTTCTCCGCATGCAACAAATTGCAGTTTTGATAATTCTCAGGCAAATGATCGTAATTGTGTACAGCAGCTGCGGCAACTGGCATAGCAGTGGTGACGAACGGCAACCATTTCTCTTGTGCTTGCTGTTGCTGTTGTTGCTGATGACACTGGTATTCATGCTGTTGCGGCTGTGTGGCAGTCTCCTCATGCCCAAAGGCATAGTCATAGTTGTAAACAGACTCATATTTGGGCGTGCCGAAGGTGGACATCATTGAGGGCAGCTTAATTGTCGAGGACTCTTGTTTAATCTCTGACACCAGCGACGACATGTACTGCGTTTCGTACGACTGATAGGTGGCGCAGCTGGTGTTGCTAAGTTTCGGTGAATGTTTCAATTGTGCTTGCGCTGCCGCGGTCTCTGCCGCTGCAGCGTTCGCAATTGTATCCGCTAGATTTAATGTCATCCAGGGATCGAGCGGTGGCGAAGAGCACGGCGACTGGTTTTTCGATTGACAATTGATTTCATCATAGTTGTAGTACTCGATGTCCAAGTTCAAACAGTCAGTGGTCACAGTGCCAGCGACCAACATTTGACTGCCCTCACCGAGGTCACAACTGCTGTTGCTGTTGCTGCAATTGCTCTCAACGCCGCCAAACACCGCTGCTGACATTTGTTGTTGCTGCTGCTGTTGCTGCTGTAGCGTCTGATAATTGCCATCCGCCAACTGCATGCCACCCATCATGCCCGGTGAGGGGGGCACGCTGCACTGGGCGTAGGTCGTCGCTGTGGCGTAGGGACTGTAGGGCGTGCTTGGCGAAAAAGACGCTTGTAAACTATTTGTCACCGACAAACTGCCACCTTGCGGCATTGCTGCACCAGCATTTGTAGGTGAGTTCACAAAGCTGCAGCTTGTCTCACAATCTGCCGATATCAGTCGTGCTATATCCTCTGGCTCGAAACGGAACACATCCTGGGCGTTGCTGCTGCAACCAATCGGGCAAGCTGTTGGCTTTTGTCGATTCTGTTGTTGTTGTTGCTGTTGTTGTACCATGACCTCATCGCTGTCAGCACAGCAAAAGCTCACATTAGTTGAAGCATTGCCACATTGATTGCCAGTTGTACAATCAGCAGTGTTGTTGTTGCTGTTGCAACTACCATAAACCGATGTGGGCGTCTCAACCATGTAACTGAGCGAAAAATCCGGAAAGCTCAACTCGGCGCTAGTGAAGTCCGTATAGTTCTGACTGCTGCTGCCGTAAGCCGCTTTCAAATTACAGTTCGGTGCAAGAAAGTCAACGCTGCGTTGCTGTGGTTGTTGTTGTGGCAGGCTGAGATGTTGTTGTTGTTGCTGTTGCTGTTGTAATTCTTGGTAGTTATCCTGCTCAGTCTTGGCACTTAACATGTGTGCACTGAGCGGTGGTGACATGAGTAGCGCACAGTTATTGCCACTGCTGTTGTTGTTGTTGCTGCTATTAGCATAATTATTAGGTGTAGATGCTACGGCATCCATGGCTGGATAAAGTGGTGAATATAGCGGTGAAGCTGGTGGCAATTTAATTTGTGGCAACATTGTGGTATGACTGACACTTTTAAGGTTGTTACCGCAGCTGTTGTTGTTGCTACTCTTTGTTGGCGATTTACTAGGAAATGACACCTTTACTGCAGTTAACGGTGATATGCTGAGACTTGGTGGGCTCACTTTTACGGTGGCAGACATTTTGAGCCGCAAGCGATGTGGCACAAGCAATTTTCTGCTTTTGTTTTTTTATGTTAAATAATAATTTTCAATAGTTTTCGGTTTAAGCAACTTATTTTAATACACTTATTTTTATACACAATTTTATAGGTTCTCAATTTTTTTGTTTAAACTTGAACTTTTTTTTCGAAATTAAAAAAAATGCTTCAAAATATTTTTACCAACTTTTATTAAAACACATTATCATTAGTTTTACACAATTTATTTAGTAATTTATTTTTTATTTTATGAAACAATATCTAAGTTATTAAAATATTTACAAAAACATCTCCCTCGTTTAGTTTCTTGTGTTTGTTTTCAATGTTTTGTATATTTTAAATAGATTATTTTATATCTTTATAATTTAAGAATTTTGTGTATTTTATTATACATTTTGGAAATTATTATATATTTTTAGCAGGTTTTTAATTTTTTCGAATTCGTTTTCCGAAAATTCTATACATTTTTTTTTTAAATTAATTATTCGAATTTATTTCCGAATTCAATTTGAAATAATTTTTCCAAACCTTTCCTTTTTATTTATTTTTTGTTAAATTTCATTTCCAAATTTTTTTGTAATAACTAGTTGTTTATATAAAAATTTTGTTTTTGTAACTTAAAACTTTTACCAAATTTTTTTTCTTTCAATTCAAGTCACTTCCGTCGCAAACTTATCAAATTTCTATTTGCCTCACATCCAAAAACACATACTTTATGCCACTGACAAACGGCCAGTGTTTAATGTTTTCAGCGCGTGTTCGCCAATTTTCGTGCATTAACGCAAAGTGCTTAATTTTTTTTTTTGCACACAAGTTCCGCCCGCGATTCGGTGGCGCGCGTGTGTCGCGTGTCGGCTGTTGAATAATGCGAATCACTTCGGCGTGCTAAATTGTCACCTCTTACAGAGCGACACTCAGACTGCCAGCACGGGTCCATTTCATTTTAGCACAAACAAATTAATTATTTTTTGTTGTTCTTTCGAAATTCTGTCTTTGGTTTCGCTGAGCGAAATTTTGGCAAAGCCGCCAAAAAATTAAGCGAATCGGCGCGGGAAATCCCAATGACTACGCAAAAATGAGGCGATCGGCGCAGATTTGAATATCCGACGTTTAAGAAAATTTTATGTTTTTGGTGTCGTTAAAGAGATTTTCACTTTTCTTGCACCACTTGAAACGCCCGCCTCCGATCACGTTTCGTTCGTTAATAAATCGGTGTATCCGATGTTGCAACGTTTTAAATGCATGCTGCAGCAGCGGTAGTATCTGCACTGGTGCACAAATGTAACAACAAAAATAGCAACAACAACAATAAGGCCAATGATGCTGCACATGTGCGACAATTTACATGCGCTCATACACACACACATACATACATAGCAGCAAACACATGTGCGTGCATCCTGAGGATCTGCGCCACTCGATCACTCCTTCGTCTTCCGTTGTAGCTGCTGCTATTGCTGTCGTTGTTGTTGTTGTGGCTATTGTTGCCTTTACTATTTGTATATTGCCTATTCACACTCACTTTCTAGCGCTAGCATCTTCAATTGGATATTAACATATACAATATATATGTTATGTATATAACACACATACATACCACATACACGCACACATATATATGTCTTTGCTTTTGCACTGCTATATGTCACTTCGTAACTTTGTTTTTTCTAAAATTTTAATTTCTTGTTTTTCTTTTTTGCCTTCGCAACACGTTCAACTCGCAGCTCCATGGCTGCTCGGAAGCGCGGTAAATTGTTCTCTTTCCAACTTATTCTTTTTTATAGTTTCACTTTTTTCTGCTAAATATCTGTTATATTAATTGTATTTAAAAAAATATATTGAATTAGTCATGTATCCCAGTAGGAAATTGAGGGTCAGCAGTACCAGTGAGTAACTAAAATTCCCATCGATTCTCATCGGACTTTTTTTCCGTAAATTCCGAAACTGAGCTCAATATGTATTGATGCTTTCTAAGTAATTAGAGTATTTCATAAGCTTCAGACCTAGGGTACAGAAACCCATATCAAAATTTCAAAGTCCTGCATAACCTGGCCATTATATTATTAATTTCTGTTTGGACATTATTATTAAAAACTTGCAAACCAAAAAGATTACTTTCCGACTCTTTGAAATAATTAGCTAAAATATTTTCTCCGCCTTGAAAAGATCGTTGTTATTATTACTTGCGCAAGAGCGACCGTCGCAATAAAACGATGACTGTCACATCCCCATCCTATTTGTCACATTTTTGACAAAATTTATGATTTATTTCAGCAATAGCAACACAACTGCAAATAGTACTCTTTAGTTGATAACAAGTAGATACCTGCACAAGCGAGGCAAATGACGCAATTAACGCAAAAGTGGGCTTAACGGTGATTTTCCAGTTAAGTAGGATAGTAATGACAATGAAGTTTCTTGGCTATTTGGTTACTATGCGGAAGATTTGTCTAGCGATTCTTACCACGAAGAAATATAAATAGACAACGAGTTTATTTGGATATTTGTGTTTCTAATCAAGGAAAAGAATCAAAGCTACGGAATCATTAAACGTGTTTTAGAAGTGTTTTAAAGAGTCTACTTTATCACGAACACAAGTATTTGAGTGGCACAAAGCATTCCATGATGGTTGAGAAGTCATCGCAAACTTGCCTCATTCGAGTCGTTCATCCACCTCTGCTAATGACAATATCATAGAAAAGGTTAAAGAAAATGTGGTTAAAAATCGTTGACTTGGCATCAGAGAGATAACAGAGTATCTCAGCGTCTCTTATGGCTCGTCTCAACACATTTTGGTAAATGTTTTGAGTATCAAGCCAAACATTGACTAGGCAATAGTTCAGTGACTTCCGTTTACCTAAGTTTCATGAGCGGTGTAGTATAACTACCCGTCTAATCACTTTTAAGAAGCAAAACTTTCCGAGCCTTCCATGTCTATATAAGTATCTGCACTTTAATTATTACCCATGGTATAAATTTGATGACAAATGATAACACTACGAAACAATAATGCTTAAGAGAAACAAAAAGAAACAACTTCAACTGATTAAACCACAATTTTGGCGCATTCCAGATCTTTCAAAATTTCCTTTCAGAAACTACGTAAAACGACTACCATACAGAAGCAATTTAATTTGTGCAGATGCTAGAGGGAAAGGTTTCGAATGTATTTTCAGCAAAAAAGCTTCCTGATCCTCTCTGAAGAATAACAACGAATGACCAAAAAGACAATTGCCAAAGAAGTATGGCTCGAGTTTTCTAATATGAACTTTTTATATAAGTGAAAGTAGCAAAAATTAAGAAAATATCAGCCTAAAACATGATGTGGTCCAAAAAGTTGGAAGTATTTTCCTACAGGGCTATTACAATTAAGATATGCGTGTTTGTGTTAAGAATTACAAAGCCTTTACACTTCTACAATTAGCCAAAGACGCTTACGGACAAGAGCAGCAAGCGCAGCGCAGCAACGGCGGTCTTGGCACACATGTTGCAAGTGTGTTGCGAGTTGACGATTGCTTTTGCTGCACCACGCCACGTTACACAACCAATCATACACACACACACACATACTCACACGTGTACATATTTATACGCTATTATGTCGAACTTTAACACTTGCAATTTCTGCGCTGCATTTTATTTTTGTTGTTTTGCTGCCACAACATATACGCAAAACGTTTAAACATCTATTTGTGTTTTTTATTCTTTTTAGAGGCAGCAACTAGAAAATTTGTATACGATATATTTGCAGTTTAAATTTATTATGAAGTGCGATGGAGAAATGGCTTGCAGATGCGGCCACCGGCCGGGCGGGGCGGCAGAGAGGTGGGCAGCACGCACCGCAGGCGTTGTTGGCCACCACCAACTGTCAATGCACCGAGCACAGCCGCCCGCTTGCCACGCTCAGCGTGCAGCGTGCATACACACTCACACGCCTAAGTGGCTTACCCGCTTGCAACTGCCACATGTGTGCACTAGCCTAAGCGAATGGATGCTGGTTTTCGCCAAATCGCACTATTGCCTGCCTATTTTTAGCAAATCCTGCCACATTGACGCTGCAATCAGCCACAGCAAATGCTCAAGTGCAGCGTAGCGTTGTTGTTGCAGCTGCCGTTGCAAGTGGCTTGCAACGCATGGGACAATGTGTTTTTAATTTGCTTGCAACGAACGCGATTTTTCTGCATTTTCCACTTCATTCCGCTGCATAGTTGTTGTTGTCGAAATTTGTATTATTGTTCTTGTGGTACTGTTATTTTTATTTTTGTACTTGATTTTGTTATTGTTGTAATTATTGTCATTCGCATGTATGTTGTTTCTGTGTTTTTTTGTTTTCACATTTTATTTACTGTAAATTGCAATTGCGCTGGAAATGGCAGCGTTTTAGTGCAAACACTCTGCCACACTGCCGCCGAAGGGGTTAAAGTGTTTTCCGGTTGGCACTCTGGCGCAACAGGGACTTGTTTATTTTGGCCAGCGTGAGTCAGGTGCCGCGAGCGGCCGCAAGTGCCCCAAGTGCGTTGAAAAAGAACTCTTTTTATTTTGTTGCATGTTATTGTTGCTGTAATTTTGGCAGCTGCCTGCTACCACACTTTTACATGTGTATATATGTATAGGTGTATGTCGCCTGCCACTTGTGCGGCTGTCAAGCAATTGTTAAATTTTTGGCGCACGACTTGAGCACTCAATTCAATAGCGATTAACGCTCGACCGCTCGCCCCATTTGCACCAAATAAAACGGTTTTTTTTGCGCTTCGCAACGAACTGTTTTGATGTTTTTTTTTTCTTTAATTTGTTCATTTAATTTTATTTGTTTTCATTCTGCTCTCAATCTAAATTTTATTTACACTTTTTTCTGCTCTCGTGCAAAGCATCGCGGCACACCATTGGCTGTTCGGTTCGCACCGATGTCGTGATATTTTCGAGTAGTGTGGATTTTGATTTTCTTACGCATTTTCTTTTTGCTTATTTTTCACACTTTTTCGTTTCCTCTTGATTTTGATACACTTGTTGTTTTGACTTCGAGATTTTCACTTTTATTTTATTTAAATTTTTTGTGTTTTTTTTCTCACCCAGTCTTGTC